ATCTTGCTCTGCCAGACGCCTGCAAAGTAGGACTGGTCGACGCCGCCAGAACCCCCCATTCGCTTGTCGTTCTTGCCGGCGAGGTAGCCGATGGTGAAGAGGGGGAAGATCAAGTAGGTGAGGAGCGCGGCGGCGGTGACCGAGAGCGGCTTGTCCCAGATCAGGTAGTCCTCCCACTCGAACACCTGCTCGTAGCACGGCGGGGCGTGTGACGAGCGACGCGTTTTGCAGGGAGCGCGCTCCTCTTCCTCTCCTTGTTTGGGCAGTTTGCAATGAAGGCGGAGGAGACGAGCGCGTCGAGCATGAAGAGCTCGAAGCCGAGCGTGACGCAGATCCAGACGTTGAGCACGTACTGGTGGATGTTGCACCCGACCATCAGGGACCAGCACTGCTGCGAGACTGGCCACGAGCACCTGGTGCGGCAGGGGCGGCAGACAGGCGGCAGGGAGGCGGCGACTCGGCGAGGACTCGGAGCTGCGCGAGGCAAGGCGCATATGGCGGCGGGCGCACCGGCAGCCCAGCCAGTCAAACACGAGCCCGCGCGAGCCCGACAGGAACGGCACCCAGATCGGCTGCGGTGCGTTGACTTGAGACACGTTTGCCGCCGGGTTCGCGTCCCAGCTGGCGAGCAGCGGGTAGGCGGTCGTGGGCTTGCCGTCCCGGTAGCCGGTGATGTTAGCGAGCTCGTCTGCGCCGAGCCTGCGGCTGATAGCGAGCGCCATGCACATCTTTGGAAGGCTGCAGGGGCGGGGCGGGGAGGCGGAAGTCGGTGAGTGAGTGAGGGAGGCGGGAGCTGCTGTGGGTAATGCAGCGTTCCTCGTCGTGTTCCATTCAACGAACTCGCCCGATTCGATCCTCTTGTCGACGAAGTCGTTGGCGGTGGGGCTCAGCAGGTATACGGGGAGGCACTGTGCGCGGCGGGAGCGGGGTGAGAGAGTGCAAGCAGAGATGGCTGTCGGCGAGAGTGGCAAACCTCGGAATAGGTTGGAGGACGGTAGCCCTCCTCGTCGTTGTTGAGCCAGCCGATGCCCTCACCGACCGTCAGATCCTCATTGTACTCACGCGCCTCCGCCATCAGTGCCTCTGTGTCCTGTGCCGCCGACGCAGGCTCGAAAGGACGGGTGGGCCGCCCATTGTCACTCTCAAGCGCTCGGAGCTGTTCGTGTGTGCTGAGCATAATTTGCAGGAGGTCGTCCTTGGCAAGTGAGACGGCCTCCTTGCTCGACTCGTAGGCCTCCCGGGCAGCCGCCTTCTGGTCCTCGTAGCGCACAGAAGCGGTCGCGGGAGCAGTGAGCCGTGATGGCAGCTCATCGAGGCGGGCCCAGACGGCGTCGTCGCCGGGAAGCGACATCGTCTAATGGTGGCGTCGCGGGGCTGGCCCAGTCCTCGAGCCTAGCTCTGCCTCTCGTTCGGTGCTGTTGGCAATCGTGCAGAGGCCGCTGGCCGAGGTGCACAAGGTGGCAGCGTGCCACCCCGTCGGCCACAAGCGAAACTGAGCGCATCAGAAAAAAATAGCACATTGGAATAGCATCACAAACTGTCACTCCCCTTTCTCCCGGCCGGGGTGGGGCGCGCGGGGGGGGCGGGGGGGCCGGCGGGTGTGCGGGATGTCTGTGGGCCCGAGAGCAATGTGTGTGTGTTCGCCTTGCGGTTGTTTCATAACATCGAAGGCTAAGCTCGAAAAAAATTAGAAAGCACGACAAAAGCCGGGGCTAGTAGGGGTATAGGAGGAGGAGAAATATGACAGGGACGCCTGGGACCGAGGAAGGGACACGCACGTCCCACCTTGCCGGCAGATGACCGACCATGTCGACTGGCCACGCGCCGCCCTGGCGGCGTTGCTGCTTTGCGCTTCGTGCAGTGTGATGGTCTGTGCCTGGTACCTTCACCTCCGAGCGCACAGCTGGGGCATGCCGAAGGCCATCCTCATCTCGTGGGCGATTGCGGCCTTCGAGTACTGCCTCCAGGTGCCAGGCAACCGGATCGGCGCGAGCGCCGGCCTCAGTGCTGCGCAGTTGCGCGGCCTGGCCGAGCTCGCCGTCCTCGTCTCCTTTCTCGTTTTCCAGATCAAGGTGCTCCAACAGCCACTGCTCTGGAACCACGTCGTGGGCTTTGCCGTCGTCCTGCTTGGCGTGCTAATCGTCCTGGGCGGGCCGTTCACCTCGGAGGTGGGCGCCGCTGAAGGTGTGGCGCTGCCCGTGCGGGTGAGCGCCAAGGACCTGCAGCGCACCAGCAAGGGCCTCCCTCCCGTGCGCTGGGAGCTCCCCTCGGTCTCGCCGCCGCCGCCGCCCTCGGCCTCGGGTACCGGAGGTGCCGTCGCCGCTGGGAGTCACTGAGCCGCCGTCAGCGGAGCCCGCCGCACGGCTGGCGTGGACGGCCGACGCCTAGCGCCGGCCGCGCGAGGCAGCGACAGAGCTCGCCGCCTTGCCCGAATGCGAGCTCGCCACGCTCCTCCTCGAGCTCGCCACTGGGTCTGGTGGGTCTTCCCGATGCGGGCGCATCGCGTCGGTGACGCCAACAGCGCACGCCAACGCGCCGAGGGACGACGGCATGTGGGTTGCGGGGCCAGTCGACGCCTTCAAGCTCCGCTGCAGCGCGACTCTCTTTGGCGCGCTGGCGCAGTGTGCAGGCGGCGCGCCGCTTCTCGAGGCGGCGCGGGGCGTGTTTGCCTTCTCACGCCCGAGTCATCTACACGGCGGCAGGGCGCGGCGAGTGATGGGGCGTCTTCCGCCGTCGCGGCGAGGAATGTGCTGCGTGGCTGCGACAAGCCGACGCTGCAGCTGCCGCTGTCGGCGAGCGGCTCGCTGGCGGAGACCATGGCGCTTCGACGTGGGTGTCGCCCGGGGCTGGCCCAGTCCGCGAGCCTGGCTCTGCCTCTCGTTCGGCGCTGTTGGCAATCGTCTCGAGGCAGCTGGCTGGGAAGGTTTTTTTCTAAAAAGAAATCTGTCCGCACAACACTGGGCACAGGACTGGGCACGGGACTGGCGCGCACTGGCACTAACACAGGTACACCACTGGAGCCGCCTAAGCGACTCCGGCGAGGACGGCGAGGCACTTAGCTCCGTGCACTCGACCGCCCTCGCCATTGGCAAGCTCATTCACAATCTGCTCTGCGATGGCCGTGTGAAGAACGACTGAGATGCGCTGCTTCTGCAGCCCCAGCCAGCTCTTGGTGGTCCAAGCCACCTCGTCGAGGTACTGGGCCCGCGTCAGCTTGTTCTGCAGCACGTTCGCCGCCTTCCGGAGGATCTCACGGACCCCCCTCCCGAACCCACCGAACGACTCGAACAGCAGCAGCCGCACATCGACACCCTTGTCCTCCTTGGCGTAGCGATACTCGCCACCATAGGACGGTACGCGGCGATCGCCGCCCACCACCCTGCCCCCCCTAGTTAGTATGCCACCGACCAGTCCCCTGCCCCCTCTCGCCCTTGCTCTTCCTCTCTCCATCCATTCCCTCGCCCCCATACCCCTCGCACTCCCCTCCATCCCCCTCCCCCCCCCTCCCCCCCCTCGCCTCCCTCTCCCTCCGCGCGGTAGGGCCCATGCCCCTCGACCATGTTCCGTGTGCACTTGGAGCACTTGGAGTGCAGTCATCAACCTCACATCCAGGGCCAGGGAGCTAAGATGCGAGGGAGTTTTGTTGTAAATCTGTCCTTCACCCTTGGGTTTCTTGCCGTCGTTCCTGGGCATCCCAGCTGTGAGCAGGGGCCCGCCCCGCACACAGCGGGTCCCCCAAGGGTGAAAATCTGTCCGCACACGCACCAAGCAAGCATCCTCTCTCTTGCTCAGCTGCTCGCTCTTATGGTTTGCCTCTTGCTCAGCTACTCGCTCGCTCTCGCGAGCGCCTACCTCCTCTGGCTTCAGCTCGACCGCCACCCGCCCGCCAAAATATTTGTCGGCTTCGACGTCTTCTCCGAGCAAGAGTGCTCGGATGCAGTCGCCTTCGCAGAGTCGGCCAACGCCTGGACGCGAACCAGGCACGCGCTTTACCCGACGGACGATTTCAGCGTTTACGATCTGCCGGGCCTCGCTAACCTGTCACGGAGCGTCGAGGAGCGGGTGCTGCCGCTCCTCCGCGCTTCCTTTGGTATCGCCGACGGCGTGGCTCTCGCCGTGTCGGACCTCTTCCTGATCCGCTACTCGAGCTCGAGCGGCGGGCAAGCCGGCCTCAAGTGGCACACGGACGAGACGACGCTGAGCATAAGCGTGGCGCTCAGCTCGCCGGAGAGCTTCAGCGGCGGAGGCGTCGAGTTTGACTTGCTCCCGCAGCCGCTCCGAGCGGACCGCGGCAGCGTCGTGATGCACCCGTCCAAGCTCCTGCACCGCGGCGTCGACGTGACGGCCGGGAAGCGGTACGTCCTCGTCGGCTTTGTCACCGTCGGAGACGACGCGGTCCTGACGTTGGGCAACTCGCCGCCTGGATCTCCGGAGCTCATCAACGGGCTGTGGGCGACGTGTGTTCAGGTCGTGCCGTCGCCCGGCGCGCTCGGCGACGTGCCCGCCACCGCCAGCAACCTGCCTCGCGCGCTGACGGAGGAGCGCTGCCACTCCAAATTCGAGGTTGTGGCGCGGGCGGTGAGGACTAAGCTCGACACCCTCGGCGAGGGCGCGGCCTCGCTCTGGAGCGGCGAGGAGATTGGCGGCGACGCGCAGCAGCTCCTCATCCTCAACGGGTGCCTCCTGCTCGGCAGCGTGCTCTTTCTGCGGGTGGTGTCGTGATACAGGTTGTCGACCGATGCGCGTTGCCTGGGAGATGAGCGGTCGAGTCCGTACGTGCCGCGTCCTGTGCCACCGAGAGATATAGCAGCGCACCTGGCTCTTGGGACATACGCACTTGGTTGGAGTGCATCATTAGCCTCACATCCAGGGCCGGGGAGCTATGAAGCGTGAGGTCTGTGGCGTGCTTTGCCATTCAGGCTCCCCGAACGCCCAGCGGATAATGATGCGGAGGTTTTTCTTTGACAAAAAAAGGCGGCTCAGTATGGTCCGACGGCCTCCTCCTCCCGGGCCGCTTTAGGGTGGAGTTGGCCCAGTTGGGCGTCGCCGTTTGTGAACGGTCTTGGGAGCTGCACGAGCTGCACGAGTCATTGGCTAGTCTCCGTGACTACCGTCGATGGGAGATTCCGCTGCCAGCGCGATCGCGGAGGCTGCGGCGGCGAAGGAAGAGGTCGAAAAATACAAGGGCTATGTGAAGGACATGCGCCGCCGGCTGGCTATGGTGGGCGGGAACGTGCCGCCTAGCTCTCTGGACGTGTACGAAGAAATGCTTCCTCTCGTGGAGAACGACATTTGGCAGACGGGTCAGTCGGGCTGGCTCACCGCTGACCCGGGACAGGGCCTGGCGCCGCCCAAGGAGAACGAGATCTTGCCGTTGTTCCTGCTGAGTCCGGCGGCGGCGGAGTATGCCGCTGACAGCAGCAGATACGAGCTGTTCGACAGCGGCTTCTTCCCTCTGTGGGGGATCTACATGGGCTGCTCGCGCAAGTTTGCCGACCTGGCGTTGATCGAGCTGACCGGCTTTGACAAGGCGGATGTGGTGCCATCTGTGGACGGAGTGCCTCCTGAGCAACAGGCGCTGCCCTTCAGGGCGGTGTGGGAGCCGGGGAACACGCTGGAGAAGGAACGGGCCGAAACGCTCAACACGCCCTACCCCTTTCCAGTCCCTTTCCCTGGCCGCTCGCGCTCGACCATCATCCTCAACTGGCTCGGCTGCCGCTGCTCGTGGCCGATGACACAGTTTATGTGTGAGTGCTCACCCTGCCGCCGGCCTCCCGCCTCACGCCTCACCGGCGCCCCACAATTCATGTGTGAGTGCTCATTTGCGCGGCGCCCCAGCGTTCCGTTCCGCCGCGCCGGCTCACTTAGCGGCTCTGTGCGACGCGGCCCGCAGGGTGGAACTGCATCTCCTGCAACATGCACCAGGTCGCCGTGATGATCTGGATGCCGGTGTCGGTCCTGTTTGAGTGGATCCTGCTGGACGGGCTCTTTGACATCGAGTTCATCAGCAAGGTCCCCGACGGTGGCGGGAAGCTGCACAGCAAGCTGATTCACTGGGAAGACTATCTTCTCAGCAAGCACCCGTCCGCATGCTTAGATCCAGAGCCAGACGGCCTCTTCTCCCGCGCTAGGTTAGGCGGCCCGGAGCGACCCCAATGAGCGTGTGATGGTCGCCTCGCCCCGCAGGGTCGCGCAAAAGGCTGCCACCCTGCTCATCTACTTCATCTTCCCCTTCATTGTGCTCGGCTACATCGCGAGCTCCGGCCTCACCGCTTGGTTCCGAAGCCTCTACCAGGGTCGGATGATGCTCCGCTCGCTCGCTGCGCGGCGAGAAGCGAACAACGAGGTGCGCGCCAGTGCTGCCCCGGACATGGACCGCCCCCCGAGACTGGCGCCCTCTAGATTTGCCCTCTTGTGCCGCAAAGCGTCGCCCCCGCCCGCGCGCAGGCGTACTGCTCGCTCCTCTGGTTCGCCATCTGGGTCGAGGTGCACTCGGTGGTGATCCCAGCCTACATCCCGTTCATCGGCCCCGCCACCTTCGTCTTCCACTACGGCGCCAACCTGGTGCAGCTCGCAAAGTACTATGTCATCCTCGACGTCATCATCAAGTTTCAGCAAATCTCCCTCTGGTTCGTGCACTGGCTCTTCTGCCTCACTCCGGACCAGATCAACGTGACGACCCAGTACTATGCCGGCAAGCGCGCCGTCGACGAGATGGACGCCGCCTTCTACCTCTACATGTGGAGCTTCTGGGTCGTCATGATTGGCAACATGGTCGGATGGGGCTTCGAGCTCGGCTATCTCTGGCAGTGGTCCGTCCCGGCCCTCATCCTCCTCTACGCCTGCTTCCTGCACTCCTTCCCCTACTGCTTCGCCGGCCAGGCGATCTGCCCGCCGCACACGGAGGCCGCGGTCCGCTGCATTATGATCAGCACGACCTTCGTCTTCCTCCTCATCCACATCTCGTGGCGCGCCTGCTTCCTCTTCCCGTGCCTCTGCGCGCCCGAGGTGCCGGGGTGGCTCTTCTTCCCGCCGCACGACCCGCCGCCCAACCCCCTCAAGGGCCAGATCATCGACCTCTACGGCTTCCGAGTCTTCCTCGACAAGCTAGCCAACGGCTTCGCGATGCCGGACGACTGCGTCTGGGAGCCCGTCCGTTAGCTTCCTACCATATTGTGTCGTCTGGGCGCCGGCCGCCGCACCCGCAGCCACCCAGAAGGACTCCGGCTGTAAAAAGAAAGAAAGAAAGAAAACAGACAACCCAAGGGAGGGATGGGAGGGCTGTAGTGAGTAGGTAGGTAGGTAGAAAGGTGAAGAACAGCCAGGCTCGGACTGGACACCAACGCGGTATGGGTTAGTTTTACAAAAGAGAATTTTTTACAAAAGAGAATTTTACAACAAAACTCCCTCGCACAACACTGGGCACAGGACTGGGCACGGGACTGGCTCGCACTGGCACTAACACAGGTACACCACGGGAGCCGCCTAAGCGACTCCTGCGAGGGTGGCGAGGCACTTAGCTCCGTGCACCCGCCCACCCCCGCCACAGGCAAGCTCATTCACAATCTGCTCTGCGATTGCCGTGTGAAGAACGACTGAGATGCGCTGCTTCTGCAGCCCCAGCCAGCTCTTGGTGGTCCAAGTCACCTCATCGAGGTACTGGGCCCGCGTCAGCTTGTTCTGTAGTACGTCCGCCGCCTTCCGGAGGATCTCACGGACCCCCTTTCCGAACCCGCCGAACGATTCGAACAGCAGCAGCTGCACTTCGACGCCCTTGTCTTCCCTGGCGTAGCGATAGTCCCCGCCGTAGGACGGTATGCGGCGGTCGCCGCCCACCACCCTGCCCCCCCTGGTATGCCGTGCCCAGTGTTGTACAAAAGAGAAAGTCAGTAAGTTACGAAGCTCGAGAGGGCGAAACACAATCAGACACCATCGAATGGGGCACCAACGCGGCATGGTACCAGAGGCAAAGCAGTTCGCCAGTGCGACGTGACGACATGCGCTGTGCCCTCTCTCCCGGCACTACTCTCCGCTCTCGCCTCTGGCTCTGCCCGACCGTAGAGGCTGTGCACGAGCGAACACCAGCCGGCTGCGTCGATGGCCTTGGATCCTCCTCCGACGTACCAGGATGCCAAAGAGGAGGCGGGGTCGGCATACGAGAGCAGTTACGAGAGAGCCAAGACGGAGCTCGACGCCGCCAAGACTGAGCTGGAGGCGTTACGCAAAGCTGCTCTCGACATACGGTTTGCTGCCACCTTGACCGACCCGTCGTTGCTGCCATCGACGATGACCACTGCGCCCACCTTCGACGCGGACAAGGTCGCCGAAGAGATGGAGCGCCTGCTGGGCATGGAGCAGGCGCAGTTCTCCTGGCGCCACGCCGTGGCTGATTGGCGGTCTTGGTGCCGGCGGCAACAAGCTGACGGAGAACTACTACGCGGGCCTGTACCAGCTGCGCGTGATGCTGCGCTCGCTGGCGAGCCGCCCCGAGGCTGGCACGTACGCCTACTGCACTCTCGCCTACTGGACGATCCTCACCGAGATCTGGACCGTGATCATCCCGGCCTACCTGCCCTTCCTCTGCCCGATCGATGTACTTTGAGTTCTCGCTCGATAACATCGCCAAGCTGTACGTGCTCTTCGACATCGTCTTCAAGAACATCTCGCAGTATGGGCTCGACTTTGCAATGTTCCTCCTCTGCCTCAAGGCGGACACGCAAGATGCGACGACGGTGATGGTGCTGGGGAAGCGCGCGGCGCTCGAGTGCCGCTCCGCCATGTTCCTCTACCTGTGGACCCTCTGGCTCTTCATGTTCCTGATGGGTGTGATGATGAAGTGGAAGCTCACCTTCCTGTACCTCTGGATCTTACCCACCCTGTGGCTGATCTACTGCGCCTTCTTCCAGGGCTACTCGTACTGCTTCGCCGGCCAGGCGGTCTGCCCGCAGCACACCGGCCCGCTCGTCCGCTGCATCCAGGTCCTCACCACGGGCACGATCCTACTCGGCTTTGTGTGGATGCGCGCCTGCTTCCTCTTCCCGTGCCTCTGCGCGCCAACGGTGCCGGGATGGCTCTTCTTCCCCCCCGACAACCCGCCGCCCAGCCCGCTCAAGGGCGACATCGACTGGGACGCCTTTAGCTACCTGCTGGGCCTCGCGGCGAGGGGCTTCCCACAGCCGGAGGACTGTGTCTGGGAGCCTCCCGCGGGATGACGCCCAATACTTCATTCCATTACAGCACAAGTCTTGACTCTTGTGACTCTCTCTAAATAGTAATAGACGGAGGTCCCCGCAGCGACAGAGGGTTCTCGGGATCATCCGAGAGATCCGAGACACGAGCGAGAGCTCGCGGGGACCCACTGTACTAAGGTCGGTATCCGTGGCCAGCCATTCTCCCCGCGCGCTGGAGCCAGGACAGCAGTCAGCCAGGCTCTCCCGCGACACCGTAGACATGCATCGAGACCATCCTCGCTGTCAGCTCTCCAGCGTCGGCGACGGCTCCGCAAACGGGCCTCGCCGGCCGAGACCCCCCCCCCCCCTCCCACCCCCTCGCCCCTGCACCTCATCCTCGCACAGCGTAGCTGCATTCGCCTTTGCTCACGTCAAGGAAGAGACTGGGCCGCCTCCTCGCAGGAGTCGGCTCACGCGAGGGTCTTGGGCGCGTGGTGGCTCTCGCCGACGTAGCGGATGCCGGGCAGATGCCCGGGGGACGCGCCTTGTGTGCGGGAGGACGGGGCTAGGACGGTCGGGCGCGTGCGGGAGGACGGGGCTAGGACCGCTGGGCCCTTTTGGGGTAAACCCAGGCGGGCCACGGCGTGGCAGGAACCGGGCCAATCGGCGCACGAGTCGATTTCTTCTTTTGCTGCGCGCCGGCGAGGCCGTACGCGGTGGTCGCGGCGCCGAGGACGCACACGGCGGCGATCACGAAGAGGATGCTCAGGAAGGCGTCGTTGAGGTTGGAGCACTGGCCGTTGAGGATGGCGCCTGCCCACGGGCGCCGCGCGAGCCGTCTTTGGCCGCCACTCTCCCCAAAGAGGCGCGCCCCTTTCGGGGGTAGTGGGAAGGGGGGCAGGGGGGGGAGGGGGGGGGCGGGGGGTGTCACCGAAAAGGGTCGTGCCAGTGATCGCCCCCATCTTGCCTACAAGGGGAGGGGCTCGTGTTGTGGAGGGGCGGAGGCGCGTTTTCGGGCCGTGCCTCCGCCCTCTCGGCCGCGCCCATGGCGCTGGACAGGCCGTTGAGCGTCGTGCGCACCTCCTGCGGGTAGGCGACCGACGACATGACGTACGTGGTGACGTTCATCACCCAGAAAGAGCCGTACAGCAGGCCGTACCTAAAAAAGAAATACGTCAGGTAAAAAAGAAATACGTGATGGAAGGAGCCGTACAGCAGGCCGTACAGGGTGATCGCGATGCCGAGCGCCGTCGGCGAGCCCGCGAAGCCCTCGTTCGGCGTCGGGTCCTCCTCTTCGTACACACGGAAGGGGCCCTCGAGGCGCGACGCGTCGAGGCGGCGCAAGTCTCCTGGCTGGAAAGGCGACGAGTCGAAGAGCTGGCGGTGGCCTCCTCCGCTCGCCGCCGCCTTGCAGCCGTCCTGCGGCACGATGAGCCCGTCCCAGAGCACGGCCAGCAGGGCCGCGATGACGGCCGTGATGAGGAAGCCGACCCACTGCAGCGTCACCTGCCGAGAGCAGGGGGCGGGGGCGAGGCTCGCGGGGAGGTGTGGGGCGCTCGGCCTGGCCCCGACCCAGAGCGAGCGTCGCGCCAGGTCGACGCACTGGATGGCCGACATGGTGAGGAGGGTGGCGAGGATACCGACGGTGGAGACGGTCATGTTTGCGAGCGCCTGCTGCTGCACGTTGAGCCCGGTGAGGATGATCGACAGGACGCGCGGCTGGAGGATCGCGAGGCCGTAGTACGGGACGTCAAACAGGAACCAGCCGCCGGCGGTGCCGAGCAGCGTCCGCCACGGGCTGAGCGCGAGGATGCGCGAGAAGACCGACGTCTTCTCCGGCCCAAGCACGGAGGTGGAGAGGCGCCGGTTCATCGCGACCTCGCCCGCCACGGTGTGGCGGCGATGATTGGCGACGGAGGACGCCGCCGCAACGCGCGCGGACTGGGCGGCGGCGTAGGCCATCAGGAAGGGGCCGACCGAGCCGAAGGAGAGCATCACGCGCCACGAGACCGCCCACCTGCCGCCCGCGGGATGAAGGGCTCGCTTGCTACCCACCTGCCGCCCCGGGGCCCGCAGGGTGGGGGGCGAGGTGCGGGCGAGGTGCAGGCTCTGGCGCCGAGGGATGGGCTGGGCTCTACAAGGTCTGGGCCCCGGTGCACCCCGGGTTGTCGCTGTCGTGCGTGTCGGTCGGGTGGAAGGATGCGCCGGCGCCGGGGCCGAGGGAGAGGAGGAGGCCGATGACGTAGACAAAGATGATGCCGGGGTTCTGCCAGAAGAAGGCCCACCCCGCCTTGGTCGCCTTGGCGGTGACATCGGTGTCGTCGTGGCACGACTCGGCCGCCTTTGCGGCGGCGAGGGGGTAGACGCCGCCGCACCCCACCCCAATCAGGAGGCGGCAGGCGATGAGCAGGTACCACGCCTGGGCGGGGCGGCGTCTCTCAGCTCTCGGATCAGGCCACACACAGGCTAAGTCTTGGCCAGAGTCTGGGCCGATCAGCCGCTGCGCCTGCATGTCTTCCTCCTCCTGCTCGAGGGCCAGCAGCACCGCTACGTCCACCGCGCCGCCCTCGGGGGAGCCGTCCGTGTTGGTCATGTAGCCCGGGATGATGGACGACTGGAGGGGCGACGCGGGCAGGATGCCGGAGAAGAGCGCCCCGGTCCCCATCACGAGAAGCGTGAGCACCTGCAACAAGTGGTGTGTGGGTGAAGCCCACCTCTGCCATTCTGAGCGGGCCGTGGGCGGGGATTGGCGGCGCGTGCCATGGACGGGTCGCGCCCGATGACGTCGCCGAGGCAGCCGAAGACGAGCATTCCGATGAAGGTGCCGATGAAGGCGGCCGAGTTCGCCATCTGATTGGCCGCCGGGTAGTTGCCGTACATGGAGTGCATCCAGAGGTAGCACCAGCCGATGACAGTGAAGTTGTACGAAACGAAGAAGCTCGAGACGAAGGGCACGTACGGCCCGAGGACCGACTGGGTGGCCACTGGGTCGGGCTTGGCGATGCTGTGGGGAGCACCCGGGAAGAGAGTGCCGCGGCGCAGCTCCTCAAAGTCGTCCTCTTCGTCGTCCGGCAGCGCCACGCCGAGGCCGTCGAGAGCCGAAGAGACGGTTCTGAGCTGCGTCTTGATCGCTGCGAGCTCCGCCTTGGTCTGGTCAAGCTCGGCCTCGACCTCGGCCGGCGTCCTCTTTGACGGGCGAGGCTCGAGGCCCATTGCCTTGGACAGGACGCGGCCGATGCTAGGAAGCGCGATGTCGGTGGTCTCGGCCATGATCACTGCGAGCTATTACGGTGCGCCACGATCACAACGCCTTCGACAGGGTTGGACTGGCGGAGTCCGTCGGCCTCGGCCGCTTGGCGCTGATATTGAATATTGTCTCAACGGATTCTTTAATTTTTTTTGTACAAACGGAAAAAGTTTGTCTTTTCTTCGCGATGTCCACTCCGCAGCACCGCCTTCGCCCTTCCAGTTTATGTGTCTCTGGGGCGCCCCCTCTGGGAAGAACGTCTCGTCCTCCCTGAGTCTCCCCTCCTGTCGCTCCCTCTACCTACCTCCCTCTCCTGTCTCTGTATTGCGTGTAATTCTTTTGCGGTTTGCGGCATACCGCAGGGGCATCTCGAGGCATATCGGGAGAATGACTCGCGACGACCGCGAGTTTTCCATCGTCGTCTTCGGCGCCACGGGCGACGCGGGCCGCGCGGTGTGCCGGTACCTTGCCACCAAGCAGGGCGCGCGCCCTGTCAAGTGGGCGGTCGCCGGCCGGAGCAAGGCCAAGCTCGAGACACTCGTCAGCTCCCTCGGCGGCTCCTCGGCGCCGTCCGTGCTGCTCGCCGACGCGTGCGACGCCTCGTCGCTGCTGCGCATCGCGGAGCGTGCGACGCTCGTGTTCAGCGCCGTCGGCCCGTACTCCCGCCTCGGCGAGCCGATGGTCAAGGCGTGCCTCGTCGCGCGAACGCACTGGGCCGACATCACGGGCGAGGTGTTCTGGGTGGGCGAGATGGAGGCCAAGCACGGCGAGGCCGCCGCGGCGGCGGGCGTGACGCTCACCTCTCTCTGCGGCTACGACTCGGTCCCGTGCGAGCTCTCCCTCCATGTCGCGCGCAAGGCGCTCAAGCTCGGCGCGAGGCACTCTGAGCTGCTCGACGCCGAGGCCGTGACACAGCTCAACGTGCCCGAGGCGCCGCGACGCCCCGCCTCCCCGCCTCCCTCCTCCCTCCCCTCCCTTTGCACCCGACTGGCGTCGATCGCGGCCTTCCCCTCCGCCGCGCATCCGCCTCGCCGCACCGCGGCCGTGCAAACAGCGAACGCTCTCCCGCGGGTGGCGCATGCCCGCGCGGCGGGGAAGCCCACCCCGCCGTCGTGAGTCCGACCTGTGACCCGCACACGCCTCCCCGTCGGCCGGCTTCGAGCCTCCCCCCCTCCCCGGTGCACTAAGGTAGGCTCC